ATCATCTATATAAACATCGACATCAACAGCAACAGCAACAGCAACAACAACATGAACATGAACATGAACATGAAGACGATGATGAAAATCAACATCCATCCACCTTCACATTCATATTCACACTCACATTCAGATGCACAGGAGGGGAAATACAAGTAGATATCTACACGAGATGTCTGTCCTTCATGTAATCCTCCGTTGATGAAGAATACAGTGACAATTCATCAGGTGAATACCAATCGAACTAATTATTAATGCAATCCATATATGCGAAGAAATATTTCGTTTCGATTAGTTGCTCATCAATTTCTCTACACTTATTAAGCATTTTCTAATCTATAATTACCTACCAATCTATTGGTGAGAGTTGTTCTGTAAAGGGTTATCAATCTCAACGTTTCAAGAAGGTGATAATTGGTCAGGTAATTAAGACAGTTAACTAAAGCAAAGATTAATTATCGTAGAAAGATTTTGCGAACAGGTTCTTACATAATTGATATTTTATATAATGATAACTAAAGAGCAAAAATGAACTGTTACGTAAAATGGTAAATTGTTGACGGTAATTAGAGACAGTAGGGGGAGAGAAAGATGATTAAGTCTGTAATAATAATAATAATAATAATAATAATAATAATAATAATAATAATAATGGAGCTATTGAAATACTAGTTATAGTGAATTGTGTGGTGGATGAAATGAAGAGTCTTGTTGTAATAAATGAGCTATACAGATGGCCAAGGCAAAGAAAGAGGCTGTACGAATCTCTTCTGAACACACAGACTTGGCTTGTGTAGGTGGATTCCTATGGCTTCTGCTGTATGTAAAAGACGGACTCGTAGAGGATGGGTGAGGTGAGAAGGAATGTGATAAATAACTTTAAAGGCATTATGAATGTTAACTCGGTGGCCGGTGTCAATCAGATGAGAGAGTATTGAGCTTCGTGTCAGTCTGGTTTCCCCCTTACTTAGCCATGAAGGATGATGCTCGGCGATTCGACGACGGACTTGCCTAACTGTACGTCCAATGTAACTAGCTCCACAGGAGCAGTTGAACTGGTAAATGCACATAGAAGAGGAGAAGTCAGGGAGTCTGTCTTTAGTTCGTGTGGTCATCATCGGCCGGCTGTAGAAAACACAACATAACTTGGCGGCATTAAATGATCTTCTTATGGCATTTCTTAAGCGTTGTGTCACAATTTCGCTGATGATGTCACCTCGAAATTGTAGTCTTAGAAACAATGGTTTCTTGGAGACTGTAGGCATTCTGGTTTTCATATTGGATGTGTTCATATTTTTAGCCAGGAACGTTTCTGGATATCCATTACTACTGAGTAGATCGTGGATAATTTGAAGCTCTTCGTCAAAAGTATCATCTGAACAGATGAGTCTCGCCCGATGGACCAAACATTTAACGAGATTTCGTTTATATTGCAAGGGGACGAAACTCAAGAAGTGGGTGTATTGACCTGTTGACGTTGGTTTCCGATACACACTTTTTTTTATAGTTCCATCCACCTTCCTTGTCAATCGGACATCTAAGAAGGTGATGCTGCCGTCATTTTCTGTTTCAATAGTGAAGGTTATTGCTGGATGGACGCCATTGAATTCATCCAGTATGATCCTTGCATCGTCCTCATTATTCACAATCAAGAATGTATCATCTACATAACGGCAATAAAATTCTAACCCGCTTATGATGCTTTCCAGAGGGCCATTTTCTAATTTTGCTAAGAAGAAGTCCGCTAAGATTGGGCCTAGTGGTGACCCCATAGCGACACCGTCTGACTGTCTATAGAATTCCTTATTGAAGAGAAAGTGTACATTCATTGTACATCGTAAGAGAAGCTCTTTCAAGGTGGATGCCGTAATTCCAATTTCTATGTTTCTCTTTTCCAGTTCGCTACATATGAAGTCCACTGTTTCCATCAGAGGGACATTTGTGAATAGGGATGATACGTCTAAGGATATCATCGACTTATTATTCACATTCAAATCTCTTATTTTATCGATAAAGTGAAAAGTATCTTTGACGCTATGCTTTACAACCTCCTTATGCAATGGTTTCAAGAGTTGTACTAGCCATTTCGCCGTCGCATGGTATGGAGAGTTTGACATGTCGAGAATCGGTCGGAGTGGTAATCCATTCTTATGCACCTTTGGTAAACCATACAACCTCGGTGTTACTGTGCCAGTAGGTCTGAGTGTTTCATACTCATTTTGTGAAATGAAGCCTTGCTGCTTCAGCTTTTTTAAGGATTCGGATAATTGCCTCTCCGTCTTCTCTGTCATGTCAGTATTATAGAGCCATTAATGAGGAACTAATTGAAAAGAAATATTTCTTCGCTCACATTTTTTGTTTTACTAAATGTCTAAATGGGAATTTTTGCATCACTGAAATCTTCTGAGCATCGGATTGCGTTAAAGATCCTCAATGAGTATCTGAAGTACAGCGCAAGGTTCGGTGAAGCGAAGACTTCGATGGACTTTATCTATGAGTGTATTCAGACCAACCGCTATCCTAAAACCAACTGGAGATCTCTACGTCGTAGCAGAGTTCGACCAAACGGAAGAACACTTAAACGACATGCTCTTAACCAGATTGATTCTCTGAAATCATGCGTAACTGAGTTGATGAAAAACGTTGCAGAAAGATTCCATGCTGTTGAAGATCTCCCACACCACCTGAAACAGCCATTCCTGGAATATGTGAATCAAATTGTCAGCAAAAGGAAGGAGAAGAAAAGAATTCACCTTATTCAAAGCTTGGAGAACCGGACTCCGGAAGTGAGATTCCCTCCAAATCCTGGTCGGTATGTTCATAATTTTTTCAATGTTGATCTTGACATGGTAACACTACAAGCATTATCTCTGGGTCCTAAGTTTTGTGACAGTCATATTACACCTAACAGAATAAACACTCAAGTCCAGTTTGAAAATTTATACTCACAGACAGAAGGCTTATCACCTTCTTCAAGTGAGGAAGTAGAAAGATTCAAGTCTACTCTGGTTGACTGTTGCTACAAATTTATGAATAGTAAACAGAATGCTAGAAGCATCTTGACTAGAAAACATAGAGAAGCCTTACGTAAACTCCGAATGAATGAGGATCTGCTGATCACCAGGCCAGATAAAGGCTCAGGGGTGGTTATTATGAACAAAGCCGAATACCTAGATAAAATGAACAGACTTCTCAGTGATGACAGTAAATTTCAGAAACTACCAACCAATACTGACATGACAGAGAAGACGGAGAGGCAATTATCCGAATCCTTAAAAAAGCTGAAGCAGCAAGGCTTCATTTCACAAAATGAGTATGAAACACTCAGACCTACTGGCACGGTAACACCGAGGTTGTATGGTTTACCAAAGGTGCATAAGAATGGATTACCACTCCGACCGATTCTCGACATGTCAAACTCTCCATACCATGCGACGGCGAATGGCTAGTACAACTATTGAAACCATTGCATAATGAGGTTGTAAAGCATAGCGTCAAAGATACTTTTCACTTTATCTATAAAATAAGAGATTTGAATGTGAATATATATATGTATATATATTGATAGATAGATATAGATATATAGATATAGATATATATATGGGTTTTTACATTTTTTTATTTGTGTTTTGATATATTCTAACACTTACTTTCTGCTGATATTCATTGAGATGCAGTTGAGAACAGTTTTTTTGATAACCTGATTTATTGCATTTGTATGTTTTAGAAGAATTTGTTCCATTTTGGTTCATTTCAGTAAATGAGTTAATTGCTGATTGTGTTTTATTTCTTTGTGCAATAGTATAAGATGCATTGCTAACCTTGAAATCATTTTCTTTGTTTGCATTCAAATCAACTAGACGTAATACGATACAATATAAGAAACCAAATTCATTTTATGATTTACTGATATAATTTTTCGTTGTTTTATTGGATAGAAATTGCTCAATCTGTATTTAAATATGGGCTCCTATGTGGATGCCTCGATATTGCCTGAATATTTATCGTGGTAATTTGTTTGGTTGTGGCTAGTAAAGGAATCCAGCTTGAGGTACGTTTTGTCCTATTTTGGACTCGTCAGCTGGAAATACCTTCCCCTGGTGATGTTGTTCGCACTGAGACTCAAAGCTTGTACTCATTGATTCGAATGCCAAGGCATTGTCCACTATGCTATGGAGACACGATAGCCAATTCCTGTACAACCAAACAAATTACTATAATTAATATTTAGGCAATGTCGATGCATTCGCATATGACCTCATATGTCCATAGAGGTTGAACAATTAAATCTAATAAAACAATGGAGAATTACAGTATAGCAATAAATACTCATAAATAATACCCGTTGTACAAGAAGTGACTAACGTGACTTCGTAGCATAGTGGATAACGCCTTGGCGTTTGAAGCGGTGGGTACAAGTTTCGGGTGTCGGAGGGAACTTCATCACTTCACACTAGGATGCGCGTACATCAAGTCGACGAGTCCCGAATAGGACGAAACGCTCGTCCTTGATTCTTCTGCTAGCCACAACCAAATATATCACCAAAATCATTTTATTCGATTTTTTTCTTATAATTAAACAAAGTGATTAAATATTATTTTACTAGAAGACAGTATGAAAAGGTTCATATTTCCTAATATATTATCTTAAACTGACTATACTCATTGAATCATAGAACATATGGTTTAGCAAAAGTAATTTTCTCAAGGAAATTATTTTCAAAACCTTTACAGTCATATATATATAAGTTGACTATCTAATATAGCCGTGGTTTTGTGGACTTGTTTGATACTGCGTAATGACTGACGGTGAAATGAAAATTTGAACCACGGTCAAAAGTGAAACACCAATCACAAGGTTGCTCCCCAAATATCCTACCAACTCACCTATGACTTCCCAATACTCACCACATGTTTGTTTCACTTCAGTCATCAAGGGTTTCACAACAACACTCAGTCGTCACTGATTCAAATCCGACTGCAGTTCACATTTTCATTTCATTCACCTTCAATCATCATCACACAGTATAAATACTAGTCTGCCAAACTAATGTTGGGATCTCAGATAGTCAAATGAAAATATAATAATGGTGTGAAATAAGGTGAATTTAAAATAAAATGAAATCGGAGACAACTTGAGATGGAGTAATCAGTGTTAAAGATATTCACATTCTTTATCAGTTAACCACGTTATCATTATGGTAACGAAATCGACTTAATAAATTGGCTTTTATTACATAGCTCTGCTTTCAAATTACTGCTAAAACCTTCTGCAATACATAACAAGCGGTCTAGAAGAAATATAGGCGTGGAAAGGTTTTGACAGGTTTTTTTATGTGACGTCAAATGAGATATCTGAGACTGAATGTCTAATATCGATAACATGTTCTGATATAGATGAGTTGACTGATCTTCCCTCTTTACTAAGCTATACTGGAAAATGTTCTCGAATGAGTTGAAGGATATGCCTAGACGAATGACTTACATACCTGGTTCTACATGACCAAGTGGATCAGTAAAAGTACATTGAATTGGTCAGTCTTGGCAAGTTATCCTTCACTGTGGAGTATGTTAGACGGTGACTGCTGCATATTATTTTGAGGTAAACTGCATGAAGCATCCTAAGTATTGATCTTTCCAAACTGTTTTTCAGAATGTCATCAGCACTATTCCACTGAATTCTAAATTCAAGAAAAACATTTTTCAAACAGTGCAAGGATTTAGTGTTATTGCTTGTACTACACCGCCGTTGATTGGATGAATTGACCAGTTTCTATTGGCATACGGGCTCATGTGCGGATGCCTCAATGTTGCCTGTTTTAATTATGTATAGTAATGACGAGCCGTGGCTAGCAGTGGAATCGGGGATGCGCATTTCGTCCTATTTGGAACTCACCAGTCAGCTGGATGTACCTGCTTCCCAGTGAGTGATTTTGTCCCCACCGGGACTCGAGCTCGAGAGCGATCGCTTCGAACGCGAGAGCGTTACCCACTACACTACCGAGCCACGATAGCCACTTCATGTGTGACCGAATTCATCAGCCGACAGGAGCTCATATGCCAACAGAGACTGATCAATTCGGTCCAATCAGCGATGGAGTAATACAAGCAACGACATTAAAACTATACCCATCGCACAAGAAGAGCCAACGTGGCTCGATGGTGTAGTAGACAACGCTCTGACGCTTGAGGCGGTAGCTCCCGAGTCCGAGTCCCGGTGGGAACAACATCACTCACCGGATGGCAGGTACATTCAATAGAAGAGTCCCAAATAGGGCGGAAAGTGTAAGGATTATAAAATTGCTCCTGTGTCGGTTATTTTTTCTCAATGTAACATAATGAGTATCAATTTTAATAAAAGTGGATTTTACGTAACATAATAGCACTTCTATGAAGCCTACACAACAACTTTTATGGTATCATGAGAACACAGAGAGAACAAAATTATGTTTTCTGGTTAGTTAAACTATATATTACTGAAGCACCTGCAAATCCATAATTTGAAAGCAGAGCTATGTATAAAAGCCAGTTTATTAAGTCGATTTCATTACCATAATGATAACGTGGTTAACTGATAAGAATGTGAATATCTTTAACACTGATTACTCCATCTCAAGTTGTCTCCGATTTCATTTTATTTTAAATTCACCTTATTTCACACCATTATTATATTTTCATTTGACTATCTGAGATCCCAACATTAGTTTGGCAGACTAGTATTTATACTGTGTGATGATGATTGAAGGTGAATGAAATGAAAATGTGAACTGCAGTCGGATTTGAATCAGTGACGACTGAGTGTTGTTGTGAAACCCTTGATGACTGAAGTGAAACAAACATGTGGTGAGTATTGGGAAGTCATAGGTGAGTTGGTAGGATATTTGGGGAGCAACCTTGTGATTGGTGTTTCACTTTTGACCGTGGTTCAAATTTTCATTTCACCTTCAATCATTACCCAGTGTCAACACTATATTTTCGTTCTATTCAGAATTCTTGATTAAATACAGCTAATTTATTAGAACATTGTCATTTACTGCTATCATGTTTTCTGTAACCTAATAAATAACTGGAATTCAGGACGCACATTTCGTCTCATTTGTGACTCCTCAGTTGGATGTATCTGCACTTCAGTGATTGACGAGAGTCAAATCCAATGCCCATTTCAAGAGTGTAGCACAACAGCGTTATTACTAGACCAAAGAGTCATGATGGTAAATTGTTATTTAGACTGGAATTCAGTTTTCAGTCTCATTTCAAATTTTAAAGGTGAACTTGAAGATGAAATCATACTAAATATCAATTCAAGAAATTTCAAACAAGAATTTGAGCTAGTATGATGGTTTTTATATGGTACCGTAGTTGATTGGACCGAATTGATCGGTCTCTATTAGCATATGGGCTGATGTGCGGATACCTCGACATTGCCTGCGTTCTAATTATGTTAATGATGGACCGTGGCTAGAAGTGGAATCCGGGATGCGTATTTCGTTCTGTTTGGGACTCACCAGTCACTTGGATGTACCTGCTTCCCACTGATTGTTGTTCACACCGGGATTCGGACTCGGGAGGGATCGCTTCCACTGCTAGCCACGATCCATCATTAATGCGATTGGAACGCAGGCAATATCGAGGCATCCGCACAGGAGCCCATATATGCTAATAGAGACCGATCAATTCGGTCCAACCAACGACGGTGTAATACAAGCAATAACAATAAAAACCCATACGCGTCGCACAAGAAGTGGCTATCGTGGCTCGGTGGTGCAGTGGATAATGCGCCGGCGTTGGAAGCGATCGCTTCTGAGTCCGAATCTCAGTAGGAACAACGTTACTCACTGAGAAGCAGGTACATCCAGCTAACTGGTGAGTCTCAAATAGAACGAAATGCTCATCCTCGATTTCACTGCTAGCCACGATCCATCGTTAATAATTTGAGCTGTTTTACTTTGGGTTAAGAAAATCTTTTTTTGTTGGTAACCGCTAAACAAGAATCTTGTTCTCCTAATGCTCAGGACTTGATGGATACTCATCATCTAAGTAAAAAAAAACCCTTTTGAAATCGTTACTTTGCAAAGAAAATGTATCATTCGATACTTAGTCATAAGTAAAAAGTAAGTACTAAATATCTGCATAAACTCTAGATAATGAGAGAAATATATCCATTACATTTGTGAATAGGTAACTTGTTGATATCTTAATCGCACTATTTCATATCTCTCTTGTTAAATATCTCCTATATTATACTTATATACAGTACAATCTTTGGTTAAGTTTCAGTGTCAGCTTGTCTGAATCCAGATTCATGTATCAGTTACAAAGTTTTGGTGAAAAAATGTAGCTTCTTATCATACACAACCTCGCCTGGTTAACTAGTTCACTAGTTACTAGACGGTCCTAAGCCCACACAAAGAGGGAAGGTTGGGCATAGGGCTAGCAACCCTACACCGGAAAACAAATCCAACCGCTAAAGAAACTTCAAAGCACAAAAGAAATATAAAAGATTATAACAAAATTATTTCTCGCTGGAATCAGAGAGGCAAAATGACGCCAGTTGGTGAAAGTCTTCGGGAAGCCAATTGGCCGATGTGTCTTCGCTTCTCTCGATGAAAGCGAAAGTAAACGTGGGGACATGGAATGTCGTACGATGTTTGAACCCAGTAAGGCAGCCCAGATTGCAAAGGAGATGAGAAGGTATAACATCGAAGTGCTTGGGATTTGCGAAAGCAGATGGAATGGGAGTGGACTCTCCAAACTGTCAACGGGAGAATCAATAATCTACTCCGGTCACCCAGACGCCAACCACGAGCACACTGAGGGAGTGGCTATCATGATGTCCTCAAGAGCATCGAAGGCTCTCATGCAGTGGGAACCAATCTCCTCCAGGATCATGACAGCAAGGTTCAACTCAAAAGGAAGGAAGGTCACAATCATACAACACTACACTACGCACCTACAAATAATGCAGAGCAAGAGAAAAAGGAGGAATTCTATAGACAGCTGTAATCAACACTGGACAAGACGTCAGTTGGCGATATCAAAATTCTAATGGGCGACATGAATGCCAAACTGGGAGGGGACAACACAGGAAGAGAACTAACCATGGGTCGAGAGGCGCTAGGTGAAATGAACGAGAATGGAGAATTGTCTGCAGAATTTTGTGCATTCAACGATTTGATGATTGGAGGCTGTGTGTTCAGGCACAAAGATATCCACAAAGCGACATAGATTTCACCAGATGGACACACTAATATCTTATCATACACATGAATCTTTACATGATAGTGTACCAGTCTCTCATTCATAATAAAATATACTTTAACTGAATAGGTTATAGTTTTCACTTGTTATACTTCCCAACTAACCTGTATATTACAAGTATATAAACAGTTTTAATTTCATTGTTATCAGGAAAAGGAGAACTTTAGTGGTTTGAAAGTACTAATCATTCCATATGATATTGTTTGTATTTCTCCGTCGTTGATTGGACCAAATTTGATTGTTTTCTATTGGTAAATGTACTCCTGCGTGGATGCCTCGATATTACCTGTCATTTCAACTTTAATATTAATGATGCAACAACATCATTCATTGAGATGCAGGTACATCTAGCTGGTAAGTGTCAAATAGAACAAAACACATGTCCTGGATTCTACTGCTAGCCATTATTCATCCTTAGTACTAATCATTCTTTCAATAAGATTTAGGAATTCAATGGTTCTTTATTCATTCTGAGAAAAAGTTGGTTCGAATATGGATTTATGAAAATAGATTTCCGAAAATAATCTTTTATATGTACTTAATTAAGTAGCCTCTTCTACTTATCTAGGTAGCATTGTTTCAACAACAGGCGGCATAGAGGGGGATATCAAAACCAGGATTGGAAAACAGAAAGACAGGCGTTCATCAACCTGAAACCAGTGTGGAGATCTATTGCACTCACCATAAAGCCTGAACAACATCTAAATTTTCAACACAAAGTCAGTCAACTCAGTGATGGTTCAGAGACCTGGCGCGTTACGAAAGGCATTTCCAACAAACTACAGATATTCATCAACAACTGCTACGCTGACTCGTTACTGAAGAAGAATAAGGAAGAATAAGCAAAAAGGAACTCTGGCTGGCTGGCAACAAACCAACGAAGCAAGAACCTATCACTCAACAAATATGCAGTAGAAGGAAGTGGAGATGGATTGGGCATGCACTGCGAAGACTATTCGGGGACATCACGCGCCAGGCCCTCTAGTGGAACCGTAGTGGGAAACGACGAGTTGGGCGTCTCAGCTTAGGGTGACATGGAGGAGATGGTGTTAGGAAGAAACGAGAGCTTGTGGGTAGTCATGGAGCCAGGTTCAAAAGGTGGTAGAGAACACAGTGCACTGGAGAAGTGCTACTGAATCTCTATGTTCCACTAGGAACCCAAGGGACAAATAATAATAATGCACTAAATTAAGAACAATCACGGTGACTGGGTTTTGTAATGTGGAATCATTAGTACAAATCATCTGGTAAAAACAGGACAAAGGAAGGATGTATTGTTCATCTCCACACTTCTTCTTACCTGATTAATAATCCCTGTAGTAGATGAAATTAAGGAGTCATCTAATTAGATTTATTGTTCAGAGAAAAACGTGGACACTGAGGTAGAGTATAGTTCCATATTAGATTGGTTATTTAATTGATATAGTACACAGAGACACAGCATAATTTACTGAATAACTTTTGGAGCAGAATTTATTACTCATATTCATATCACAACAATTAATGGATACTTGTCGTGCAGACATAATTTCCAAGTAAGGCATAAAAGCATCCATAATAATAAAAAGAAGTTATTTTCAAGAAATGTTAATGATGAATCGTGGCTAGCGGGGGAATCCAGCTTGATGCGCATTTCGTCCTATTTGGGACTCGTCAGTTGGATGTACTTACCTCCCAGTGCCGATTAATGTTGTTCCCAATGGGATTCGGACTCGAGAGGGATCGCTTCAAAAGTGAGAGCGTTATCCACTACACCACCGAGCCACGATGCCCATTTCTTGTGCAACGGGTAGAGTTTTTATTGGGAACAACATTGCTCAGTGGGAAGCAGGTACATCCAGCTAACTGGTGAGTCCCAAATTGGACGAAATGTGCATCCTGGATTCCATTGCTAGCCACGATCCATCATTAATACAATTGGAACGTAGGCAATGTCGAGGCATCCATACAGGAGCCCATATTCTAATAGAGACCGATCAATTCGGTCCAATCAACGACGGTATCATATAAAGACAATTATACTATTTTCAAGAAAACTATAGAAGAATCCTATGACCTACAGAAGCTTATATGGAACCAGGAATATTCACTGTTACTTAGTTTTTTAAAAATACTGGATAGAAACCAACTTCTCAGTTTGCCATTGAAAGTGATAACAATCAAATTAAAAGGAGAGTAAATGAGCGTGAGTTTTATTTTCCACAGAATTAATTTTACCAATGAACAGTTAGTAGATCAAACGGAGAGATTTTAGTCTTTGTAATTCTTCTCCTCATTTTCATGTTTAAGACGTAATCAGCCCCGGAAACAGGCTTCTAGTCACCTGATCTATATGATACTTCACTTTACTGATATTCTGAAATCGTGTCTGATGAACAAGAACGACTTCTAAGTGTCTGTAAGCAAACAGTAAAGTGCATTTACATTCTAAAGATAGCTTGAATCCCTTTGGAAACTCTGTTCTCAGTCTAGAGGTAGTATTCATCACTAACTGACATCATTTGGGAACCATTGAAAATCTGGGAGTACTGGACAGCTGTTTCGTCCTAGTATGGGACTCTTTGACAGTACGCACCCATGACCCGTCTAAGTATGGAACTCGCGACCTTCAGGCTTCATGGTGAACAAGTTAAACATTCAGTAGTTCACAGTTTCTAACTTCCATCAATTCACAATATACGGTGACCATCACCAAAGGTCTTCAGTTGGCATTCGCTTCACTTCCGACTGGTTGAAACCATAGGTCATGGGTTCTCATCAAAGATTCATGATATCCATCTGAAAGTTTAACAGTGATGAACCTTCCTGCGAGTTTCAATATATCAACTAAGGTCATTTTCTCTTAAGAATATATAAATTTATAATTCAAAGCATGAATCAGTCGTTAAACATAATAATAAGTAAGTACTTACCTGTTTTATTTGATTGATCAAATGAATTTACTTCTTCCATGTATCTGTGATATGTGTTATGTTTATTACACTTTCACACAGCTTAAACTTCTGTAGAAATAGATTTGTAAGACATCATAATAAATTGAATAAGGAAAAACTTTATAGCTCTAAGTAACTTATTGTATGAAATCTAGTTTCATAGTGAACTTTTTGTAACAAGAAAAGAAAGCACAGTGTTATTGTTCTTCAGGACTCCTCTTACTGAAAGTGCTACTTCGTAATGTTTTAATCTTTACGAAAAGTAGATTAGAAGAAATTCCTTTACAAATGATCAGAAAAAGAATGAACCTTAATTCATATAAACTGAAATTAAAATGCAACAATAAAATAGTAATTCCAATTAGGAAGTTTTTCAGGATTTATTGATATTCATTGAGAAGTGATGTTATTCGAAGAACCAATGAAAATGTGGGAGCACTGGACAGTTGTTCCATTCTAGTTTGCGACACATCAGCAATGGGTTAAATTAAACTTAACCCTAGCAGAGTTTATTGTACTAATAAGGTTCATAAACCACGTTATCCGATTAGACTGATAGATGACTTCAGAAATAACTCCAACATATGAACTAGCAAAGTACTTAGCATCAATATTATGTCCCACTAGAAACCGTTGAAAATCCAGACTAGTAAAGTCTTACTAGTTAAAATTTAGGCTTGATGATCTAAACATGGAAGAGGATGAGAAAATGGTCAATTTATAGCTGTTGCCGACTATCACCTATGATCTACGGGATTGTGATCAACTAGATCATGAAACAAACTGTAAAGAGCGGAAGATGTGCATAAACTATTTGACCAATGAGAAGAACCTAGAAGATTTACATTTCACCGATGATGATTTATGTCTAATGTCTTATGTCCCACTAACTCGAAGATTTACAGGCGAAAACCAACAAGTTGACAGAAGAGGTAACAAAGACGAGACTTCATTCAGGTGAACGCAAGAAGAAACAGGTGATGAAGGTGCTCAAGCAACAACAACGACAAGCACCAGTCACCATGAATGGGAGAAATCTAAAGGAAGTTGTCTCTTTCACCTACCCACCTATCTAGGCATCATCGTTGCAACTGCATACGTTGTAGGCGACACAGATGACTATGTGAAAGCCAGCATCGGAAAGACAGAAAGACATGCCTTCCTTCCTTCATTAATCTGTGGAGATCAGTGTGGAGATCTACTGCACTGCACTAAGCATAAACAATAAGATGCGGATTTGCAACACTAACATCAGTCGAGTTATTGCTTGTATGTGATGATTGAGAGACTTGGTGCGTTACGAAAAGCACTTCGAACAAACCGCAAAAGTACATGAACAGCTGCCGCCTTCGCTCACTCCATAGTGAAGATGAGATGAGATGAGAAGGCGAGGAAGAATAAGCAAGGAGAAAGTGTGACTCGACAAACAACCAATCAACCAATGAAGTATGAATCTATCACTCAACAGATATTCAGAAGAAGAAGATGGAGATCAACTGGACTGAGAAGATCGTTTGAGGACATCACCTGTCAAACCAGGCCATTGAGTGGAACCGAAATGGGAGATGATGAGTTAGTCGTGTGAGAGTGGCATGGATGAGATTGTGTGTATAAGAAATGGAAGGCTATGGGCAGTCGTCGAGTCAAGTTTAAAAGACTGTAGAGAAGAGAGTGAGGTGGCGCTGTGCTACTGAAGCCGTACATTCCACTGGGAACCGAAGAGACAAATAATAATAATAAACAATAGTAATAGCAACGGGAAATTACAAGTATCAGTATAACAGCTTACTCTTTTGTCTGAACAGTATTTTCTGGCACCATATTCCGTTGAAAACATTTTCAACTGTTTCATTAACCCCTAAAACAATAAAAATTTTCATTTGATAATTTTATTAATTTTGTATCACTAAACACTGGTTGAAATAAAAACTTCCTATGATTGGAGTCTTCTGTCTGAAACCTGTTAGTTAACATTAATGAGGGTCTTTCAGGCATCTCACTCAAACCAATATGAATTCGGTATCAAACTATTATTGGCTAATAAGCCTAGTCAAGTGAGATGAAAGACACTATTCAGCAAGACTTGAAAAGAATCACACAAAAGAAGAACAGTGGTGTTAGCTACCATATATATATATATATATATATATATATATATATATATATATATATATATGAGACCTAAGTCTTTGCAAGAACTGGAGAAGAATCATGCTCCTGTCCACCCCAAGCAAAATATTAACCCTCATCATCCTGGAGAGACTAAAAGATACGCTGGATTTAAAACTACGACCGGAACAGACTGGCTGGCTTCAGGAAGTACAAATCATGTACGGACCGAATTGCAACGCCACTCTACGCATCATCATAGAACAGAGTATAGAATGGCAGTCAACTATCAACCTCGACTTTATCGACTTTGAGAAGGCCTTTGACAGCGTCGACCGAGAGGCAATTTGGCAGTTGCTTCAACACTACGGAATACCGCAAACATTTATCAGCCTCATTCAACAACTATATGAAGACGCCACATGCCAAGTAATTCACAATGGGAAGCTCAGTGATGCTTTTGAAGTGAAGTGAAGACAGGAGTGAAACAAGGTTGCCTACTACCCCTCATGATATTCCTGATTGTGTTGGACTGGATCATGCAGCAAACAGTGGGAAGCGAGAAGAGGGAGATACGCTGGAACGCGAAAAAGAACCTAGAAGATCTGGGTTTCGCCGATGATTTATGTCAAGTATTACACAAACTAGAAGATCTATAGGCAAAATCCAACAAGTTGACAGAAGAGACCAGGCAGCGAAGACAGGACTTCAGGTGAATATAGAGAAGAGAGAAGTGATGAAGATACCGCACCAACAACAAAAACAACAACAAGCTCCAGTCACCATCAACGGGAGAAACTTAAAGGAAGTAACCTCCTTCACCTATCTAGGCAGCACTGTTTCAACTACAGGCGACACAGGCGCAGATGAGGACGTCAAAACCACGATTGGAAAAGCAAGACAGGCGTTCATCAACCTGAATCCAGTGTGGAGATCTATTGCACTCAGCACAAGGCTTGAACAACATCCGGATTTTCAACACAAAGTCAGTCAAGTCAGTGCTTCTGTATGGCTAAGGGTCTCGGCGCGTTACGAAGGGGATTTCCAACAGACTGCAGACATTCATCAACAACTGCCGCCTACGCTGGCTTGTTACTGAAGATCAGATGGCCAGAAACAATAAGCAACAAGGAACTCTGGCAACGAGCCAACCAGAAACCTGTCACCCAACGAATATGCATCGCGAGAAAGTGGAGATGGAATTGTCATCCACTGAGAAGGCCGATTGGAGACATCACGCGCCAGACCAGGCTGTCGAGTGGAATCCAAATGGGAAACGACAAGTTTGGCGTCCGAAGCGAGGGTGACATGGAGGAGATCGTGCGAGGAGGAAATGAGAAGTTGTGGGCAGTGGTGGAGCCAGGTTGAAAAGATTACAGAGAAGAGAGTTGAATGGAGACGTGCTAGTGAAGCCCTATGTTTCACTAGGAACCCAAGAGACAAATAATAATAAAAACATATAAATGGTATTCATCATGGACTGACATCAGTTGGGGAACCATTGGAAATCTGGGAGTACTGGACAGCTGTTTCGTCCTAGTATGGGACTCTTCGACAGTACGCACCCACAACCCGTCTAGTGATCGAACTCAGGACCTTTAGGTTTCACGACGAATGGGTTAACCATTCAGCGACTGGTTCAGTTTCCAGTGGTTCACAATTTCCAACTTCTGTCAATTCATGACAGCACGACTATCACCCAAGGAGTCTTATACTGGGACGAACTGGCTGTCCAGTGCTCCCAGATTTTCAATGGTTCCTCAACTGATATCACTCCATGATAAATACTACTTCTAAATTAAAAAAAAACCATTCATCTCAACTATATATATCACACCATGAATTCATCGCCGTGAGAAGGTCCTCCAGACAGAATATAGAATTTGTCCATTTTCGATGATTGTTCTGATTTATTCTCAAATGTATCTCCATGTAAATGATGATATTTCATGTCTTGTCGATAATACATTTTATACAATGGCTTACTGAATGAATAGCACTTGTTAAACACTTTAACACTGTTTTCTGTAATCTTCTCAATAAAAGAGAGGAATGAAAAGAAAAAGTAATATTTGATTAACTGCATAAATGTAACAATAATAATAATAATAATAATAGTAATTTTCGAGGGGGTTGTGGAGATTTGGAAATATTTCAAGTTGTTATTCATCGAAGACTGACATCAGTTGGAGGAGGAGTCCCATACTAGGACGAAACAGCTGTCCAGTGCTCCCAGGTTTCCTTTGTTCCTCCAACTGATGTCAGTCTTCGATGAATAACAACTTGAAATAATAGTAATAATAATAATAATAATAACATGTTACTGAATAACAACTTTAAAAAAGCATGGGTGAATGTTATTGTAAAAGAATCAGGTGGTTCATATTAAAGGCTAGTCCATAAGAAACCAAAATGAAACAGATTATATATATATATGAAATAGTGGAGAAATTTGTAGCTCAGGTGGGTGTTTTTGTTTGCATTGTGTTCTCTCAGCTGGATTGTTTAATCGTGGAGAAGCCTCCATCGTCTTTCCACAACTACAAATTAATCGATAGAAATCAAGAAACTCATCACCCTACCATACATAAAGAAGATGTATCAGAAATCATAACAAGGTCACTGAGACCACTTGGTGGACTATTATGAGAGAGTTTAGATCTCTGATATCACCAATATTATTTCGAGAATTTAATCTCCTTCCAAATAGAATGTCTAAATAACGGAGAGAGAGAGAGAGAGGGAGGGAGAGAGATGCATTCAATAAGGTCGTGGACATTCGTGAAGTAGGCGATGAGCCATCATCTCAGTTTTATGGTTTCTCACAGTGCTATCTGGCTTCCTAAACCTTGGTAGGTGGAGCGTTCTTTGAAACCGTGAACTACTAGTCGTAAGTCAACTACCCAAAACCAATGAGTCACAACACCATGGTATCTTAATTAAGTATTTTGCACATTTTCGTAGGTGTAGCTTCTAGCCTATTAAAAACAAGCCGCAGTTACAATGGTTATTGGAATAAACGATAAGCCCATAGTTATCATCATTATTTAAATTGTAATATCCTCAGTTACCTTTTGAGATTAAATCCTATTTACAAGTGTGATGTTATTTAATTAGAATTTCTTCTTAGTGGAAAGAAAAAAAAAGCATCGTGACAGTCACAGACTCTTAGATATGGAGTGACATTTCGAGCAAAACTTAATGTTAATAATCATATTGCAGTGGGCGTCTCTGATAAGAATGGATACAAGTAATATATGTTGAGACGGTGACAGAAATCATAAGGAATTACCACCAGTGGGTAAGGATTCTGTCAAGAGCAACGCAAGGGATAATGCTGGCGTATTACACTGGATGTTGGTGATAAGAATGTATGAAGAGCAAATCAAGAGAGAAGCAAAAGAGGAAAAGAAGCACATTTTTGCAAATGACGGATTTAGTGCAAAGTGTACTATATGTAACGACTACCGTCCCAATTATTGATAATAAACATTCATTCTGACCTATCTGCCTTCTTGTTTCTTCAAGTGGTGACGCTGCCTTTGGACGTGATGGAGATTCCGTGGCCTGAAGTGTTCGAGGATCAAAATATCAAGGTTTTTTTCAGGGCTTTCGAGTCGATCGCGGAGCTGACGGGGGTCCGAAATCCAAGGGCGAAGGTCGTAGTGCTGGGCACGTTGCTGAGGAGTAGAGTGAAAGCTGCATATCACGGCATGGAACGTGATGATGAGAAGGTGACTTGGCGGAGAATGATTGAAGGCAGAGTTTGACAGCTGACGATGCAGCAGTTCCGGAGCACAAAACAGGGAGTAGACGAAGATCCTCTGGTGTTGGCTGTGAGGTCGACTAGCACTTCTCACGTTCGATGAGGAGTCACAAGAGCAGTTGCTGGATGCATAGTTCATCAAAAGTGTCCCGAATGCCATCGCCCAGCAGTTATGACTAGTTAACGCAGCCCAAGGTGACCAGACAGCTAATGGGTACAGGAGTAGCGGCAGTGGAGTCACCAGAGGTAAATAATTGGCAAAAACAAATCGAAAACCTTCAGGATGAGGTGGCTGCACTTCGAATGAATGGCATCAGACAGAGTAAATGTTTTTCACAGTGGCAAAGAAACTGCCCGGAAAGAAGACAGACACGACGGAATGAATGTTTATTATCAATAATTGAGACGGTAGTCGTTACATATAGTACACTTTGCACTAAACCTATCGCTTCCAATGTCAAAGTGTTACCCATTAGACCATTGAAGTGAGTCCCAAGTAGGACGAAACCTGCGTCCTGGATTCCACTGCTAGTCATTAAGCTGAACACAACATCATGAATATCTGGCAGTATTAAGGCATCTGTATAGGAGCCTATCTGCAAACAGATGTTAAGCAGTTCAACTCCTACATAACAATAAGGAATTACAAGTATCAAATAATGAATAAAATTATTTTCTTACTGTAATGATCTGAATTTTAATCCTACATAAACTTTTCTGTAAATATCTATCAAGTAGAACAAAACACTGAATCAATTGATAGTTTATCACTACAAAAAAAAATATTACAAAATCAACTCACTTCAATAATTAAAGTAATCACTTTTGTATTATTTTTAAATCGATAACTTGGTAAAGGTACAACTACAAGACCAGCATGATTGACTAAACCTGATCCAGTATAGTATGTTGAAATTCTTGGAGTTGGTTCAATACTATAAAATAATTCATGATGTATCCATAATTCCATACATTCTCCAATTTTACCCCATTGATTTAATCCTATAGCTATACGTATACGATTATAATTATCTAAACGACTAAAGATAAATGATCGTCCAGAATTGAGTTTTGGATAGGGTATCATTTCAATTATAAAACTAATTGGTAATAGTGGAGTATCATACAAAGATGAATTATATTGACTATTGAAATTCATTTGTACAGCTTTAAATGAACTTGAATTTTGTATATTAAAATCTTCAGATTGATCACAGTCTAACTTAGAGATATTGGCTTGTGTGAAGTATAAGTTATTCTGTACAGGTTTTATTAAAGCCAATAGGTTTATGTATTTTTCGGCTGTAATTTGAAATTATGAAAGACAGTCGACAAAATTAGTTTATGTCAATTATAAAAGAAAAATTCTTGCAAAATAATTCATCAAGAATCTAGGTCACAATATAATAAGATTAAGACTGAATGCAGTTGGTGAATAGCAGAGGAATTCAGGACGACCATTTCGTCGTATTTAGGAGTGGACAGCTGGATAAACCTGAACCTTAATGATTGATGTTGTTTCCATTGAGACTTAAACCCAGCATCAGTTGCTTCAAACGCCGTGAGGTTCTCCACTAGTTCACTGGAGAATGATAGTCACCTCTTGTACAATGGGTATGAATGGCTGTTAGGGCCGAATTGATTGACTTCTGTTGGCAGATGGGATCCTATGCAGATACTTCGATACTGCTGAATATTCATTACGTTATATTGATCTTGGTGACTAGAAAAGGAATTCAGGACATTTAGTTGATGAGTCTTAAGTAGGATGGAACGTGAGTCCTTGATTCTTCTGCTAGTCACCAAGATCAATATAACATCAAGAATAACCGGGCATTATCGAGACATCCGCATAGGAGTCCATGCGACAACAGACATGGAGCAATTCAGCTCTGTATAGCAACGGGAAATTACAAATATCATGACAGGTAGATAAACAGTCTAGAGATAACATATCCCTATTGGACATTTTGCGAATTCATCCATCCGTAAGTAACTAACTGAGAAGTGCTTAATTGCAAATTATTCAGCCTTAATATAGAAAGCCAGAAGGTTTGACGTCATATTCGTCGTCCTAATTAGAGTTGTCTAACTCAATAAAAGAGATCTCTTTTACTTTTCCCTTGTTCGAAATATGTGACTTGGACATTGAAAACTGGATTCTTCAATTGAACATTGAGTTCATTAGCCATTTATCCATGAACTAGTGCCAAAGAGACTCTTTGCTCATTATGCTTTCAAACTGATCAATCAGCTTTTGTAGCCATAAGTATCTATCACTGACATCAACACAACATCTCTTCAGAAGTAGTACTCATCATGGAGTGACATCAGTTGGGGAACCATTGAAAGCCTGGGAGCACTGAACAGCTGCTTCGTCCTAGTATGGCTGAATAGTTAACCCATTCGTCGTGAAACCTAAAGGTTCTGAGTCCGATCCCTAGCCGGGTCGTGGATACGTACTGCTGAGGAGTCCCATACTAGGACGAATTAGCTGTCCAGTGCTTCCAGATTTTCAATGGTTCCCCAACTGATATCAGTCCATGATGAATACTACTTCTAAATTAAAAATCCCCATTCATCTCAAAAATGCACATCTCTTTATTAGACAGTCCTATCAGCCTCAAATATTTTACTGGCGATATAAGCTACTTATGAATAAATAAGTAGTTTGAAAATCTAGAAGAAATGGACAGCTTATCCGAACTAAACTGGGAATCTGCACTGATGTACATCGATAACCCTATGTGTTTTTGAGATTATAATAAGACAAACCTTGAAATCAGTGAATTTCTTGGAAGCTACCCACACGATATCTTTCAATTCAATAACATTTAATTATATTTTCAGAGTTGTATAAGATAAGGCTAAATTAGAGGTAAACACTGACTTCGGAACAAATATTTCAAATAATAAGGAGACTATCAATGCAATCACTCAGATTAGTAGAATACAATAACAACTGTGAAGAACAGAAATATAATGCGATGCAACATGCTGAGGCAAATAGTAGAAGGTATCCTCCCTCTCATAGATTTTTATGAACGAAACATCTAGAAACTAGCGAACTAAGGATTTTGTTGCGTTTAAAATCTATATTGTAGAAATTAGAACAGGAAAACAATAATAATAATAACAATACATCAAAGTTTTCAGAGAGATACTTGTAAAGTTTCATTATACTATACATAGTTCACTTGGCGCGTTAAGAAAAGCATTTTCAACAAACTACAGACATGCATCATCAACACCTGTCTACGCTTGATAGTGAAGATCAGATGAGAAGGCGAGAAAGAATAAGCAACAAGGAACTCTGTCCTGACAACCAACCAACGAAGCAAGAACCCATCGCCCGACAACTATGCAGAAGAAGAAAGTGGAGATGGACTGTACATAGACTGAGGATAGGGTCTGATGACATCACCCGCCAAACCAGGCTATCGAGTGGAGTGGGTGTCTGAGTGTGATATGGGGGAGATTGTTTGAGGAAGAAATGAAAGCTTGTGGGCAGTGGTGGAGTCATGTTTTGAAGACTTTAGAGAAGAGAGTGGAGTGGAGGCATGCTAGTGAAGCCCTATATTCCACTAAGAACCCAAAGGACAAATAATAATAATAATAACTAATGCATAGTTCAACTAGGAAATTTCATTCTGATCTGACAGGTGATTCAGAATTCTGTATTCAGTATTATCAGCATTTGTATCATGATTCACCTATCTGTAATTATCATTTGACCATCTGAGATGATCGTAGTTTGGCAGACTAGTATTAATACTGGATGATAGTTGAAGGTGAAATGAAAATTTGGACCGCGGCCGGACTCGAACCAGGGACCACTGGGTTCCCAGGCCAATGCACTACTAACTGATCTACGAGGTTCGACTACTGACCAGATTATTTGCCCGACTACCGTTTGAACTCATGATGCGTTACTACCGCTTGATCTTATTCACACTTGCTGCCCAGTCAGGACTTCTGAACCCATTACTAATGTAATTGAATCAGAGAGGGGGAATATCCCATTGATTAACACTTGATTGTCTGAGATAGCTACTGGTTCGAATCCAGCCACCGTTCAAATTTTCATTTCACTTTCAACATCACCTAGCATAAGTATCGATAATTGTTATTGACACCAATGCACAAATGTTTTAACACGGTATGAGGATAAAGTTTGAGCACCGTAATTAAGCATACTTCTGGAAACAGTGCCATTGAGACACTTAAAAAACACAAAGTAGTTCAGTGAACAAAATTCCTTTCCGAAGAATCATTCTCAGTAGCTGTACAATCTTACAACGAACAAATTAACTGATTAGTCAGTTATTGACTAGCAGATCCAATCAACGACGGTGTCATATAAAAACCCTTAAACTAAAAACTATACCGGTAGCACAAGAAGTGGCTATCGTGGCTCAGTGGCGCAGTGGATAACCCCCTGGCATTTGGAGCGGTCGCTCCTGAGTCCGAATCCCAGTAGGAACAACGTTACTCACTGGGAAGCAGGTACATCCAGCTGACTGGTGAGTCTCAAATAGAACGAAATGCACATCCTCGATTCCACTGCTAGCCACGATCTATCATTAACACAGCAGGTTAACATTACATATAGGGGTTTAGTCAAGACGGGAACAGGACTATTGCAATGCAGGCACTAACACAATTGCATCATTGGGTGAGTTTATGATACAGTTTACCGCTTTGACTTGGTTGTATGGATATGGGTGATACTTTTTTAAAATACCGACATCAAGCAAGGCATAGGGAGAATTAATTATGAACAAGATTATCAGCAAAGAGATTCTTTTCAACAAATTTGATTTCAAGATGTACATCCACGAAATAATAACAGTAATAAGAATATGAATAACAAAGACAATATGAGTAGAAAGGGATTCAAAGCCTTTATTTAGTTACCAGTTCAGGAAAGAACATCGAAAATCTTATGTAGGATTCTCAACAAGACTGAAATTAGGTGGTAATCTAAATCTACAAGCTGACTCAGAAATAAGCTTTCCTGGCTTAGATACACCCAATTATTATTATTATTATTAGTCCCTTGGGTTCCTAATGGAACATAGGGCTTTAGTAGCACGTTTCCAGTGTACTCTGTTCTCTGAAATCTTTTGAACCTGGCTCCACGACAGCCCACAAGCTCTCATTTCCTCCTCGCACGACCTCCTACATGTCACCCTCAACACCGACGCCCAACTCGTCGCTTCCCATGGGGATTCCACTAGAGGGCCTGAGGTGTGATGTCCCCAGTCGGCCTTCTCAGTGTATGCCCAATCCATCTCCACTTCCTCCTGCATATTTGTTGAGTGATAGGTTCTTGGTTGGTTCGCTCCCAGAGCTCCTTGTTGCTTATTGTTTCTGGCCATCTGATCTTCAGTAACAAGCCAGCGTAGGCGGCAGTTGTTGATGAATGTCTGCAGTCTGTTGGAAATCCCCTTCGTAACGCGCCGACACCCTTAGCCATACAGAAACACTGACTTGACTGACTTTGTGTTGAAAATCCGGATGTTGTTCAAGCCTTGTGCTGAGTGCAATAGATCTCCACACTGGATTCAGGTTAATGAACGCCTGTCTTGCTTTTCCAATCGTGGTTTTGACGTCCTCATCTGCGCCTGTGTCGCCTGTAGTTGAAACAGTGCTGCCTAGATAGGTGAAGGAGGTTACTTCCTTTAAGTTTCTCCCGTTGATGGTGACTGGAGCTTGTTGTTGTTTTTGTTGTTGGTGCGGTATCTTCATCACTTCTCTCTTCTCTATATTCACCTGAAGTCCTGTCTTCGCTGCCTGGTCTCTTCTGTCAACTTGTTGGATTTTGCCTATAGATCTTCTAGTTTGTGTAATACTTGACATAAATCATCGGCGAAACCCAGATCTTCTAGGTTCTTTTTCGCGTTCCAGCGTATCTCCCTCTTCTCGCTTCCCACTGTTTGCTGCATGATCCAGTCCAAACATAATCAGGAATATCATGAGGGGTAGTAGGCAACCTTGTTTCACTCCTGTCTTCACTTCACTTCAAAAGCATCACTGAGCTTCCCATTGTGAATTACTTGGCATATGGCGTCTTCATATAGTTGTTGAATGAGGCTGATAAATGTTTGCGGTATTCCGTAGTGTTGAAGCAACTGCCAAATTGCCTCTCGGTCGACGCTGTCAAAGGCCTTCTCAAAGTCGATAAAGTCGAGGTTGATAGTTGACTGCCATTCTATACTCTGTTCTATGATGATGCGTAGAGTGGCGTTGCAATTCGGCCCGTACATGATTTGTACTTCCTCAAGCCAGCCAGTCTGTTCCGGTCGTAGTTTTGAATCTAGCGCATCCTTTAGTCTCTCCAGGATAATATGGCTTAATATTTTGTTTGGTGTGTACAGACGGGGAGTATGATTCTTCGCCAGTTCTTGCAAACACTGAGGTCTCCCTTCTTTGGGAGTTTGACAAGGTAACCCTTCTTCCAATCGCCAGGTACTTCTCTTCCTTCCACACCTTCGGAAATAGTGGTGTAGCCTTCGATACACCCAAATAGGCAAAATAATCTAATTTACCAGATTCCATACAGTGACTATGAAGTCAAGTAAAAAGGTTAGACTAGCAGATCGGGTTCAATAAGATTATCGTAGTTTAGGAATTCTACAAGTTGGAAATTAATAGGACACACTAAGAGGTTCAGTCAAGACGGAAACTTGACTATTGCAATACAGGCACTGACACAACCACATTATTCGGTTGAGATAAAATCACTGTACTCCTCCTGTTAGGTGGAGTCGGGATTACTGAATCTCCGTTCATCGAATCAATATCCAACACACTTAATGGGAATGACGCATCATCTGTGCTGAAGATCGGCAAAATTTCACAACTACTAGAGAATACTAAATGACAGGTCTACAAAAATCAGATGCTGTGTGATTATATTCATGTGATGATGAGTAATGAATTGTGCTGTAAACATGAACAAGTAAATAAATGAATACTTTATCACTGTATTTTACATCAAATAAACAAATATAAAATGGTGGATGATATACTAGTGATGTTTCAAGCAAAATTTATCTCGCACAATTAAGAATCACCATCTCATCAAATTACGATGTTGCTGTCTACAATACATCTAGGAGAAAAAACTGTAATGAACCTGATGTAATTCAGTGAACAAAATTTTCTTATCAAAGAATCATTTTCAGTAACTGTACAATCCTACAAAGAACAAAGACACAATATTAGGTCATTATGAACCCTTATCGTAGCTGAAAACAGTGATGCTCTGTCGTGGAGATATCACGACGGACTTGACATCTGTATAGGTGTGACTACTTTTGAGTTCATCCTAGGTAATGGAAAATGTAGCTTGGATTACTTGTCCAGATCGGTGGCGAAAACCATATTTTCTGAAAGATCATGCGAAACCAACCCACCTGAAACGCACTCACTAGAACTGATCGGTTATCAGAAGTCTGATCCTAACGTTTGTGTAGTAATTCGAGCGACATATAAAGAAGCAGATGTTGACAAGAAGATAACAACAAATATAATGTGGAATCACTTTCTACCACAGTGCCCAAGTTTTAAATTTATAGCATGTAATATTGTTTTACTGTGTGATACATATATCATAAAATAACTATTATGAAAACGAGTTAAAACTGACCTACAAACGATCATAAATGTTTTTACTTTTGGTCTTTGCGTATATATCAGACGACAGCCTCATAAACATCTAGTATGTAGAAGTGGTTCGATGATATATCTTGTTATAACTAAAGCTTTAAATGAGTAGAATTAGGCGTTACTTTGGTTGCAATTATATTTCACATGTATACTATCTGATGTACACTGTAGATTCTGCTTGACTGTATGTAGACCTTCAGCAATTTTGACCATTCTATCACTTACTTGTGAAGTTATAACGCTACAGAAACCTTACGCTTTATATATTCATCTGCTCTCACAAAACAATATTCCCATTGAATTAGACATCCTGGATCCCGTAAAGATTTCGAACATTTGTCTATAAAACTGCAAATTTTTACGCATTCAAGTACAAGTGTCAGAGACAAACAGACTTTTTTCTCTGGAAAGGAATGAGACACAACTCATACATCGAGAAAAATGCTGTTTTCAGAATTGAAACATCAAAAGTTAAATACTGGGTACGGATAATTCGGATTCATAAAAAGTACCACTATCCCATTTTCATCTTTTCTTGGACACATTTATCTTTTTCATGTGTTTGTCCGTTCTGATCCGACAGTATGCTGCAATTGCAATCGATGCGTAATTCTTTGAATCAAGAAGTCACGTTAGTATATTATAATTGTTTTTATATCATACCGTCGTTGATTGGACCGAACTGACCGGTCTCTATTGCCATATAGGATCCTCTGCGGATACCTCGATATTAGCGGTGCTTTAATGGTAGTAATGATGGATAGTGGCTAGCAGTGGAATCCAGGATGCGCATTTCCTTCTATTTGGGACTCACTGGTCAGCTGGATGTACCTGCTTCCCAATGGGTGGTGTTGTTCCCATCGCGCTATAATGGCTCGGTGGTGTAGTGGATAACGCTCTGGCATTCGAAGCGATCACTCCTGAATTCGAATCCCGGTAGGAATAACACTCACTGGGAAGCAGATACATCGAGCTGACCAGTGAGTTTCAAATACGACGAAATGCGCATCCTGGATTCCACTGCTAGCCACTACCCATCATTACTAAGAAGTCATGTTGTTCATCCAAGAAATTTGTTATCACTAAGGATCAAGTAGTAGTAGCAGCAGTGTGACAGTCGCGTTACTCACATTAGAAAGTAGATGTTTATCTCTACTGATGCATCATTGACAGAAAGCAGCCTTAATCGAAATCAGCATTCAAGGTCCTCAGCTACTAACGTAGAAGTTTTGGATTGTAACTTTGGTTTCGTGTGGGCGGAAAAACCTTGCTGAACAATTTTGTCCTTCAGTTAACTTTACTTCAAACTTAGTAGCTTCATTGTCTGAAGGAAAACGGTATATAAATAAAGTGCTTTTTGTCAAATAAAGTTGTCTTTATTACATTCATAGGCCGATCTTCACCTTTTGATTTTTGTGGCTCAGTTAAGTATCAGGTTTGAAGGAGAATAGTCACGTTTTGTATCCAGTCGCGTTATTATCTTTTCGCTTATCTCGTATTATCCACTCAGTCATTTTATTCATATTTATAATTTTCTTGTTTCAACTTACATTTTGCCCACATAGAAGATTTTGAGGGAGTTTCCATGAGAACAGTATTTACTGAAAAGCACAATGAGGCATAAATGAGGTGAAGTAAACCAATCAACTTCCATTTATAGTATGCTTGATTTTTAGGCATCCATTCACATGATTGATGATATGAGCTCGAATGAATTTCTCTCACCATTTTACTTGATTTGGAATATGATCACAATATATCTTAAATGGTGATTAGAAAGAACACAATGTTAATTTTATCAGATTTAATGATAACATCATTCCAGTGTACGAATAGAATCATTTTTAAATAGTATTTTGCTTAGAATTTCGATTTCACAACGAAATGTCCCGATAAGAAAGTTGTCATTACCAATGCCTATGAAGGAATAATAAATAAAACTGCTTATTCATTGATGAAACCTTCATACGAAAACACTTTCATTGAGGAAATATTCCTCAAAGTGGTATGGAATATTTGTAGCTCAGGTGGATATTCTTGGTTGTATTGTGTTCTCTGAGCTGGGTTGCTTAATCATGGAGCTTTCATTGTCTTTCTAGACAGTGACATCATCAGCACCGAATACATAAACCTTTCGAACTTGGCCTGACAATATACTTCCAATTCAATGTCAAGATATACAAACAGATGAAAGGAACTTCAATGGGATCATCGATATCCGGGCTAATTGGAGAAACAGTGATGCAGAAACTGGAAGCCATCATTCTACCTGTAATCAAACCAAAAATTTAGATTCCCTATCTAGATGATACTTTTGTCACCAATAAAAAGGATGATATAGAAAACACTCACAGTTTTGTCAACAAAGTTTTCCCTAATGACATTAAATTCATAATGGAGGAGTAGAACAACCAACTACCATTCCTGGATGTATCGGTCAGTAAGACAAATGCCGGAGAAACGAAGATTACCTGATTTCTATGTTAAAGAAGAACGGCTACGCACGAAACGTTATCACAAGATGCCCATCCTGTACATCATCAACTAAACAGTCATCGACAGAAATCAACAAACGCATCATCCTACTATACCTAAGGAATATATCAGAAATCATGACAAGATTACTGAAACCACTTGGTGGAATTGGTGTGGCCACTCACCAACCAACAAATTCCCTACAAACACTATTATACAGACCAGAGGACACAATGACCAAAGAAGACAAACCGAATATCATTTACAAAACCAATTACAATAACAATAACTGTGTTCAGCACTACATTGAACAAAGTGGTCGCTCACCTTCGACTTCGTCTACATGAACACCAATCGGCTATTAAACGTCACACACAACATCTTATCACTCATTTCAATCAACGTGCATAACAACTATGAACATAAATTCAGTGTAGACAATGTTGAGATGTTAGACGAAGAGAGGAGACACAAAGAATGTCATCAGAGAATTCATAGAAGTTTGGCATTCATGTCAGTCAGTCAGTGAGTCAGTCAGCACTCAGTAGATGAATGTATAGATAAAGATCCAATCTATCAACCAATGAGGAAAGTGATAAACGCCAGAAAGGTGAGAGGTGAAGCGGAGGAACAGTCAACAGTTATTGAATGAATAAAAATAGGTATTCACTAGTTTGCTTTGCTCCTTAGATTGGTTTTCATAGGTGTACCTATAGTCAGGCGATGTCGAAATGTATTTGAGATTGAGTATTGATAGTAGATAGTCAGTTATTACAAAACCCAGAGGTCGCTGCCCAGAATTCCACTCCACCTTCAATCATCACCCAATATCAGTAAAAGTCTCTCAAACCACGGTTAACTCAGTCAAAATGATAATATTCATTCAAAAATAGAATATACATAATGTTGTTAATATTTGAATGACACACTTTGCACGCCTACTAATGTCGTCTTAAACCAGTCCTATTTTAGTGGGCGTTGCTGATCAGAACCAATAAAAATAAAAATAAAAATATGTTGAGAGGGCGACAGAAGTCATAGGGAATTACCAGTAATCGGTAAAGATTCTGCCAAGAGAAACGCAAGAGGCAATGTGGGCATATTAAGAGTAAATGAAGATAGAAGCAAAGGAGGAAATGAGGCATATTTTTCAAATGATGGTTTTAGTGCAAGGTATACAACATTTGATTACTACTGTACAAGATGTTAATGAAAGACTTTCTATCCCTCGTCTCCGTCTTGTTCTTTTCCAGTGACCTGAAATGTTCAAGGATGGAAACATCCAGGCCTTCCTCTGATACTTCGAGTAGGTTGCGGAGCTTGTGGGTGTCCAGGATCCAGAAGCAAAGATTGTGGCGCTTGGCACGTTGCTGAGGAGTAGGGCGAAAGCCGCATATGATGGCGTGGAACGTGTGGACGAGAAGGAGACTTGGGAGAGAACGGTTGAACGCCTGGAGGCGGAGTTTGACAGACAGCCCAGTGGACAAAAAGGTCACGACGCAACAGTTTCAGAGAGCGAAACTTCGAATAAATGAAGACCCGCTAGTATCTTCTGTGAGGTTGACAAAACTACTTCAACAAGCACTTCCCACTTTCGATGAGGACTCCCAGGTGCAGTTGTTGGCTGCACAGTCCACCTAGAGTGTTTCGAATACCACCACCCAGAAGATACGAGTAGTCAACGCATCCCAACTCATGGATAATAGTGGGTTGGTGAAGGTGACCAAACGGATGATGGGTACAGCAGTAGCTGCGGTGGAATCACCAGAGGTAAATAACTGAAAGAAAAAATCGATAACCTTCGAGAGAAGGTGACTGCACTTCGAATAAATATCAACAGACAGAGTAAATGCTTTGCATGCAGAAAACTGGGATACTGGTAAAGAAAGTGTCCGGAGAAAAGAAGAAAGGAATGTTTATCATTGACATCTTGTACAGTAGTCATCAAATATTGTACACATTCCAGTAAGACGGTCATTTGCATAGTGTGCTTCATTCCCTCTTCTGCTTCTATCCTGACTTATTTTTAATGCACTCATATTGTCCTTTGAGTTCCTCTGTGCAGAATCTTTACCCATTGCTGGTAATTGCCTATGACTTTTGTGGACCTCTCAACATATACTACTTATATCTATGTTGATCAGCAACACCCACCACACCATTACAGAAGACTTTATATACTTATTGAAATGGTTTTGAACTAGTCATGTACTACTTTATTCTACTAAAATTATTCATTTAGAACAAATCTGTCAGTTCTATTACGGAGCATAAATATAGCAGTATTTTTAGAGGTTTAAACAGGTAATGTCGTGTGCCTCTTATATTTGTCAAAGTATTTTATATCATGATCAAAGGTGGCACAATTAGTTGAACTATAAATCGAAGGTATAGTTCGACAAGCTTGAGTGAATATTGGTTGCATGTTTTTCATGAAACTAACCCGTAGTAAAGAAGTTACTTTCCTTTGCCTTTAAACTTCATCTATGCAGAATACATTAACACGATTATTAAGCCTCAAACTATTTAGATGATATTCAGTTAGTTTTCATGGACTGATGTGATTTTTAGAACTACTGAAAACCTAAAGATATTGGAAAGCTGTTTAGTAATAGTTTAAAACTTCTTACCAATGCTCAACCATGAACCTGTAAGGAGTTCAGCCGAAAACTTTGACATGCATGTTATCTTCCAGCGAGTGGGTTGGAATTCAATGGTTGAGCCGCCTCGCTGTAGGTGTGCAACACTCCAAATACCAAACTAAGACCAAACTTCTGCTCAATGCGCTTAGATTTTGAAGGGTTCTTCAACTGATGTCAATTCGTGATGAAAAGTTATTGAAAAGTTTTCATATAACTATAGTGAGTGTGAAATAAATATGACTTAATCTTGAGTGATATCCTTATCTGAACACATGCCAGCCTGGTTCTATAATGGGGAAAGGAGAACAGTTCACAGCTCTATTCTAGAACATTTGACCGATTATGACCACCCAGCAAGTTCAGAAAACAGCTCTAGGGTCATGTATAGAGTTCACACAAATCTCACGAAAAGTGTACGCCGAAAACTCCTTCAAATTGCAAAAGCCAATTTATATTTTGAAGCCTTAACTCTACGTTCAAAAGTAATTTGTCCAGTCACTTGAACTGCAATGGATATAACCTATAAGAACATTTCTACCTTCAAAAACCTCTTCATTCAGATCGTCTCACATATTACATTCCTCCACTCTTATAATTCTGATTTCTCTTTGCATTCACCGTGTTATATCATTTTGACTAAGTAACCGAAAATTAGTCCGATCTTGGTAAGTTTTCTTCTCATTACTATTTCAAACATTACGTGATTTCTCTTGTAACCTGATTTCTATTCATATCTGAACTCCGTCCCAAAACATTTCAAGAAACATTTTTCTGTTACAATGCGAATTATATATATATATATATATATATATATATATATATATATATATATATGCGATCATACAGCTTGAGAATGATTTCGCTGAAAAGAGTAACTCTTCGCTAAACATCTTTTGTTCCATAATTGAATAAATGGTAAATGAACGACGAATTCAGTAAAAGCCCCGAAGAAGTAACCTCAAATTCTTTCCTTGAGTATCTCAGTAGTATAGATTGAAACCACAAAAATTAAAAATTTCTGTGAAGCTGTAGATCAACCCAGCTGGTAGCTGAAACTAAGTTCAGAGTCCCATACAGAAATGTATGTGACTCTGTATCAAAAGAAACGTTTGCTGTCAACACATGCATTTTTCTTCTTCATGAAAGCAAGTAAATAATTATTTAACCGAGCTCTTTCTGTGGCCAGGTTGATTCTCAAAATATGCAGCGATTATGGTACCATATGAACAATTGATCCAAGTAAAGGGAAACTAACCACTTCAAAAACTCTTGAATCGACCACCATAACTACCTGCAACTCAAAAACACCAGTAGCAAACGCAGAATACATAAACACTTCAACAAGATCAGAAGCCATGAACGTCATAAAGTTGCTGTAATCCAGGAAACCAGCACGACCCAGATACAATTCCTAAACAAGCATTGAAAACCGACAAAAATACATCAGTAGTGGACATGCTCACATCACTATTACACAACATTTCAAAGGAGGGAAGGAAGGAAGGAAAAGATACCTGACGATTACAAAATGCGACAACTTGTCAAAATCACAAACAACAGTCACATACGTCTTTGCATCAACTGGCACAGAATCATGCTCCACTCCTGTCCATCTCAAGCAAAACACTAACCCACATCATCCC